CTGTTCCTCTCCAGTCCTTGTTGCTGTAACAACTTAAAAATACCTCTCACTCTAACACACCTGTCCATCATTTTTTTCTTGTTGCTCTCTTCACTCTTTAGTTTCCCTTTCACGACAATATTGAAGGTCCTTTGGCTACACATTCACAATCTAGTTTCTTTGCAGTCCCATTAGTCTAGAATATGGATGACAAAAGGGTTACAAAGATTTAATTGTAGAGTCATAGAGTCATACAGTAGTACAGCACAGAGACAGATCCATCAGTCCAACTCGTCCATGCTGACCAGATATCCTAAATTAACCTAGTTCCATTTGTCAGCATTTGGCCCATATATCTCTAAACCCTTCCGTTCAGATGTCTTTTAAATGTTGTAATTGTATCAGCCTCCACACTTCATCTGGTGACTCATTCCATATGTGCACCACCCTCTGCGTGAAGAAGTTGCCCCTTTTAAATCTTTCTCCTCTCACCTTAAACCTATGCCCTCTGGTTTTGGACTCCCCTACCCTGGGAAAAAGACCGTAGCTATTCACTGTATCCATGCTGCTCATAATTTTATAACCTATAAGATCACCCCCTCAGCCTCTGACGCTCCACGGAACATAGCCCCAGCCTATCGAGCCTCTCCCTATAGCTGAAACCCTCCAACCCTGGCAACATCCTTATAAATCTTTTCTGAACTCATTCAAGTTTAACAACATCTTTCCTATAGCAAGGAGATCAGAATTGAATGCAGTTCCAAAAGTGGCCTAACCAATGTCCTGCACATCGGTAACATGCCATCCCAACTCTTGACCAATAAAGACAAACATACCAAACTCCTTCTGCTCTATCCTGTCTACCTGCAACTCCACTTTTAAGGAACTATGAACCTGCACCCCAAGGTCTCTTTGATCAGCAACACTCGCCAGGACCCAACATCAACTGTATAAGTCCTGCCCTGATTTGTCTTCCCAAAATGCAACACATCACATTTATCTAAATTAAATTCCATCTGCCACTCCTCAGCCCATCGGCCCATCTAATCAAGATCCTGCTGTACTTAGGCCCCATCCTGTGTCTGCTCAGACCTAGGAATATGGAAGCACTCATGATATTCAGACGAGAACACTTCTATCTGCTTGCAAATTGCAGGTCTTACCTACTGTCATGGCTCACACTTCCAGCTGTCAGCTAGAGCTGTATATACTGTTGGGATATTCAGAATAAAATAAATTAGAATAAAAACGCACAAAATCTAAACAAACGACATACAAAACAACATGATTTTGCTTTCAAAATATTTATTACAACAAAACACAAAACAAAAGCTTTACTCAAAGATGTGCACAGTGAAAAGAACTAAATGGTGGCAGATTGTTAACCCAGCTAATTGGTCTTCTAAAATAGTCTTCTAAAATTAACAGTTTATTTTTGTGATAAAAAGAACCCACGCAAAATAAATAACTATCCACCCAATGTCAGAACCACACTATATTCCAATGCACAGGTGGTGGGTTCAGACATGTGCATTTTAAAATCCTTTTTCCTCTTAAAGCACAAATTGTGAAGAGTTGAATCCTGTTGACATGAAGATTGTGACCTGATTATTTGGTAATGAACAATATGTTCCCAATTACTATAGTTAAACGCAGTAATTAGGACACAAAATTGTAGAAAGGAATATATTGTACTGTGTCCCCTCCCTGACACAGACTTCACACGGACCTTCAGTGTCAAATTGAACTGACTTCTTTTTATCCTGTAAGCATAAAAGTTGTGTCAGCAGCATATTCGACCTTGGGGTGAATCATGATCCAGCACAACCCCGCCCATATCCATATAAGCCTGTTTTCCATACAGGCCATTAATTAGGAACTGGAGCCCTGCTTCTCACTCAGGTAACGTCAGCCTGTTTGTAACACCATGTGCTGTTTTGCACTGGGTTATCAGTGGAGCTCCAAGTGTTGCCTTTTAATAAACAGATTTATTGACAAGGAGCCCAATGAAGGCAACAACAGTGCACGAAACATAACTCTTTAAGGCTCTTATTTGACCACGCAGAAATATACAGGGTGACTGATTATCTGGAGGTTTGACTTGGATAAATGCAACTTGCTTCAAACACTGGGTTACAAAAGAATACAGTCGGAAACAACAACTAAAAATTCTACTGCTGATCTAAAACATGAGCAGTTGATCCACAGGAAATCTGCACCATGCACAATTTTTCTGGGAAAGTCACATCTCTAACAAGATCTTGTCTGTTTAGTGGAACCAGCAGGCGATATTGTGTTGATTGAATTCCGATTCTGTTCCAAAGTAGAGCAGCTGGTCAAACTCAAACTGATTTGATTCTTGAGAGTGACTTCACTATTTTCCCCTATTGTACAAATATTTCAGTTCTAGCGAACTATAGCATTTTTTTCTCTTGTTGGCTCATGACATGTGATGCAGAGAACGGGATGATTGCCACAGCAGCCAGAGGCACTGCAGCACTCTTACAGAAAGACAGAAAGTAAAACAGGAATTCTGTCTGAGTCGGGGGCTTCACTGAGTCAAACAGGTGCAGGATGAGCAATGAAGCCACTATACAACTTAGTCTGAAGCTGAACTGCTGGCTCCTCTTCCCTTTACAGCTTTCGGCGTAAATGGGGGAGTTGAGAGCTAATCCCAATCCGAACAAGGCCCCCATGTTCCTGACCAGACCAGCGAAGGGAGTGCTGTCGATGTGGACCCACTCTGCTCGGGCGCACCATCTCTGGGCTTTCTCCACTGACCACAGCAAGTCCACTCCCAGCACTTTCAGCAGCAGATAGAAGCCCAGAGCGAAGGAGAACAAGGACAGAGTGATCTTCAGATACTGCTTGAAACTTGCATTGTAGATTGTATCAATCCGGCCAAACACTTCAGCCACAATCAATCCTGAACGCAAAATAGTGTAGAAGTTAACAACGTGACTGCAGAGACCAAGAAACAATTGTGAAGCTTTGATACAAAACACTCCTCTAGTTAGTGACATTATTCACAGTGAAAGCTATCTGAAATATATAGTTTTAATGGTTTGAGCTCATCCTAGTTAGGCTCACATTAGCTATTGCCCATCTTTAGCTGTCTCAATGTTGGGCCTTATCCTACAGGTCATAAACACCGAATAATTATTTGCATACGATGAGTAATTTTAAACTGCCTCAACTATCCTGTTGTAAGCTGACACATTGATGTCTTTGTTGTCTTTTGCTCAATGAGATGATTGTCCGTGAATCTGTTTTTGATATGATTAACAAATAAAACAAACTAGAAAAAATGTGATAGCTGTTTTGAGACGGGATTAAAGACTTAATTGGTTCACAGCAGTTGGAGCTCATTAAACAAGCAAAATATTTGCACTGTTGGTATGACCAACTCTCAGATGGCAAAAATGCTTGTTAGAATAAAGTAGATGCAAGAATTAAAACACATCGATATATTTGCTTACTTATTTTTTGAGGTGAGGCAAAACTTTTGAAGAGCTTTTCATCAGGAAATTAAAGAAGTCAACAGAGTCTATGATAGTTTAATGGTCTGGGCAAGGAATAGACTTGATGGTTGAAAGGTTGGCTATGTTTCATGTTTTCCAAATTTTCATTTATGGTGATTTCATGTAATGGTTTGAGGTTGAGTTTTGCTAAGGAAAAACATTTTTTAATGCCTTATAATGGCCTATTGATTACTAACCCTACCTCAATGAGCTCCCTCCATTGTTTACTGAGTTAATGCAATAGGTAACTGAGAGAAAGTAGGTCAGAAGTCACATGACACTAGATTATAGTCCAACAGATTTATTTGAAATCACAAGCTTTCGGAGCACTGCTCCTTTGTCAGGTGAAGTGACTGTAACCTCATCTCAAGTGACTTCAGACCTTATCCACCCCATCTCATAACTGGCACCTCCACATCGAGAGAAACTAGGGAAGAAATCATGTTCAGTCCCTAATCTGCGCTGTTAATTGACATCAGGAGAGATCCTATTATAGTTCAAGAGTATTTTTAGTAATGTGTTTGGATTTATTATAACACACCTCCAGAGCAGGTAGGATTCAGTGGTTAGTACTGCTGCCTCATAGCACCAGGGACCTGGGTTCAATTCCAGCCTCGGGTGACTGTCTGTGTGGTGTTTGCACATTCTCTGCACGGCTACATGAGTTTCCTCCACAGTCCAAAGATGTGTAAGTTAGGTGGATTGGCCATAGGGAATCAAGGTAATGGGGAGGTGAGTCTGGGTGGCATGGTTTTCAGAGGGTCGGTGTGGACCTGATGCACTGAATGGCGTGCTTCCACACTGTAGGAATTCTATGTTTTGAACCTGGACCTCCTGGTCGAGAGAGACATGACCGCTGCACCGTAAGAGCCCTTCCACATTGAGTTCTATACTTGGCTTTAGCACTCTGTGTTAAGAAGAGAAAATTGACTGACTGGGGTCCTGCTCCTGGTCATTATTCAATGGCCTTTGCTGAAGAGGACAGGGTGATGGCATTCTGTCAAAGTTCGGTGATCAGGCTCCCATTAAGAATGGTTACACAGGAGAGATACTAATGGGTCTCAGTGCCCATGGAAATCCACCCCAGTAAGAAGGTCTCAACTTCAGGAAGGGAGAAATTTGATAGTAGAAAATAAAAGGGAAGAAAGCAGTCTTACAAAGCCAAGCTTCATCCATTGGAAAAAAAGCTCAAACCAGTCTTAGAATAATCGGCAGCTTATTCATGTACATTTATATGTCAATACCATCTTTCTCTCTAAGTAGTTTCTCAAATTATTAGTTAGATTTATTGGTTTAGAATTAAGTTGAATTTGTTAATTCACAATAGCTTAACTGCATAAAAATAACAGAAATGAACAGTTCGATTAAATATAGGAAATGCAATTCACACCCGTAAATGTTTATTAATATGGATAATATTGTACTTATATGACATTAAAAGACAAAATAATCTCATAAATGTTATCTCAATTTCACATTACTTGTAAGTCAAAAATAGATTCTGAATAATACATGTTTGCTGACTGCAATTCAAAAGTAGTTCATTGGCGGTAAGCTCTTAGGATCATCCAGAGAATGTGATAGCACACTGCATTTTCTTTCAAAATTGTGGAAGGAGAAATAATTCCAATTTCAAAGCTATTACCATGGCAGCTAAAACAATTTTGCATAAATAATTATGTGCTAACTTTCTGTTGAAAAAGAGGCAATCCTTAAAAAATGTGCTTTGTCGATATAAGCTGGAATCTGAACTGCTGTCATATAAGTACAATAGTACAACCTTTATCTCTCTGCCAGTTTCACAGAAGGGTTGACAAGTTTTAAATAAACAGAAAGGAATTTTGAACCATATCATAACACGGTTGCAGCACAGAAACAGACTATTTGGCCCATCATGTCTGTGTGTCAGCTCTTTGTAACTGTAATCAGCCATTCTCAGTAGCAGCACAGATTGTAAATTGTGATCTCTTAGTGGTACAAGAAGGATTGCCACATTCTTTCACTAACCTGAAATAACTCCCAGGAAAACTTGGTGTGGGAAATGAGCAGCCACAAATACTCTGGATGCACATACGTTGACCTGAATTAGCCAGAAGACTCCCCATAATAAAGCACGCACACACCTGAAGTAGTGAGAGCAGTGGGTGCCAATATAACATGTCAGTTAGAATGAAGCATATATACTTGTATCTAAGCAGCACAGAGAACAAACATGATATTTTTTAAAATATGGCGGCACATCTTTAACAAATATTCAGCTTAAACTTCTGGTCTTGGTGTTATAAAATGCTCCAGTTGTTTGAGGTGTAGTGAATTGGCACAGAAGGAAATTGGCAACTCAGGAGTTTTGTCAACTGAATAAATTTTATTACCAAACAGAACTATGCCCTTTTTGTTTAACTTTGGGACTACTCACTGACCTATAGCTTTGCAGCTCAAAGCTTGACTTTCACTGGTTTTCTAGAACTTGCAATGTTTGCCAGCAAATTTAATGGATTCAGTCCATGATCAGCTCAGTTTGTAGGCTGTGTTTACAGCCTTTACTATATATGGATATTGAGATGTTGGTGTCATACTGAGTGTATATTCTCCTGTTGTATGCCTGGTGATGCAAACTATTCCTGGTCACCATCTACAAGGTATGATAAAGAATTCTCCTAGAGACTTGACAGCAGAATTCATCCCTCAAGTAAAATCACCAAAATGAATTAACTTTTATGTAAGAGCTTACTGTGACCAAATTGGCTGCTGTGTTCATTTAGAAAACAACAGTAATAACACTTCAATAGTAATTCATTAACTTTCAGTTGTTGAAGAGCCAGGAAAGGCATCTGAGCCCAATTTATTTAACAAACAGCTAGATAATTTTAATTGCTCTTACTTTACAGTTACCATAACCAAATCAAACCCTGACAGTTTGAATATAGAAATAAAAGGGTGAAAAATTATTATTGACTCCCTATTAAATGCTTCTTTTAATATTAAGAAGGTTTATTGCAACAAAGCTTTACATATAATTTACAGTCACTTTCAAAAGCATTTATTTATTCCAAAGTTTGAAAATGCCTTGCATTTACACTTTTATACTCTTTCTTTCTTTCCTTCTCAATTTCTTAAATACGAATTATGTTGTGAGGCAAATTGCTCACTGGACCAATCTTGGATTAATAGATGCTATCTATCTCCTGTGAAGTCAGTAAACTCTACATAAAATAATTATGCAATGACCTCATGGTATTATTGCCAGACTATTAATCCAGAGGCCCAATTAAAGTTCTGGGGGCCTGGGTTTGAATCCCACCATGGCAAATGGTGGAATTGCAATTCATTAAAAATCCAAAATTAAGAGTTTTGCAATGATTATGAAGCCATTATTGATAGTTGGCTCACTAATTTCCTTTTTAAGAAAGGAAACTGCCATACTGATCTGGACTGGCCTACAGGGGACTCCAGAACCACAGCAATGTAGTTGATTCTGGGCAATTAGGCCATAAGTGCTGGCCTAGCCAGTGACACCCACATCCCGTGAATGAATAAAAAATATTAGCTGTTCACTTTCTGAGACTGAGTTCATCTCTCTATCTATGACCGTCAAGCATATAAACACAGATTAATTTATCCACACCCTTTAACATCTCTTGTATTTCATCAAGATCGTCCTGAGCTCTTATTTCACCCAGAGTAAAAAAGTTCTCTTGTTTTAGTAGGCTTCCGTCCTATTTGTAAGTCCAATCAAACTTATTTTGCCTCAAATTTATAAGTTTTAAGAGATTAAATGTTTCAAAGACTCACCAGTTCTGAACGCGATGCTGCTTATTCTGAAGTGTGCTGGTCAGAAATGCTGTCACCATCACATACCAAACCCCAGCTGATCCCATAGCGTGACCTGACGGGCTTCCTGAAATGGACAAAGTTTTGGGGTCAACAGGAATGATTTTTAGAAAAGCCTAATTCATTAATTTTTTAAAGGTGTACACTCCTAATATTTTTGGAAGTGAGCTAGTGTCTCGATACCTGGCCCTGTTTCACAGGTGATAGGATATTGCTCTAAGACTGGAACAGAACTATTACCATAGTAGGATGTTTCATGAACCCACCAGTAAGGTCTCTGTCCAAATAAAATCCTGCAAATGAATAGATAAAAACAACTTTGAAAAAAAAGTCATTTATATATTTTGCTTTAAGAAAATAACTTCTGGTTTTCACACAAAAGTTTCACTATTGCAAAACATGTTTGGACCAAATAACACGGAACATTTGCTAAACATTTACACAGGAATATCTAGAAAATGCTGATAAGAAATGCTTTATAAAAGTATTTTGAACAATGAGCTGAACTCAGCAGGTGTAACTATTGTAAAACTTTAGATCGAAGTGCCTCTTGTTTACTGAGTCCTGATTGCAGAGAGGTTATCTTAGAATGTTGCCTTGGTCTTGTTAATTGCTGATCCCTGTTTATACATCCCTCAAAATCAGTTTGAACTAAATGTACCCACATCATTTCACCAATAACGGATCTGAAGGCTGATTTTAAATGGTAATAGATATCTGAGGGTTCATTTGTACTATTACTGTGATGACAACACCTTTAAGGGTATTGGAGAGGAAAAGACAGTTGGAATAAAAGAAATAGGAACAGAAGTAGATCATTTTGCCACTCCAATTTGAAACATCCTTTTTAACATCTACCCTGTGAAACTCCTTAGAACCATATCTTTCAAAAGACCATCTCTCATTCTTCTACACAGTAATGAGTAAAAGTCCATACATCCCAGGAACATGCCTAATGCATTTTTTTTAAACTGCCTCCAATGCAAGTACAGAACAGTGCTTGCAATGATGTTTTTCTTGAGAAAAAGGGTGATGTCAGGTTTGAAGGACAGTACCTTTGAGTATAGGGATGACATGTTGATGTTGTACAGGACATTAGTAAGGTCTCTTCTGGAGTACTGTATGCAGTTCTAATAGCCCTGCTACAGGAAGGATATTATTAAATTGCAGAGGGTTCAGAAAAGATTTACCAGGATATTGCTGGGACTGGAGATTTTGAGTTATAAAAATAGGCTGGGACATCTTTCACTGGAGCATCGGAGGTTGCCCTGAAGCATAGAAGGTTAAGGTGTGACCTTACAGAGGTTTATAAAATCATGAGGGGCAATGATAAGGGAAATAGCAAAGGTCTTTCCCCTAGGGTGGGGGAGTTCAAAACTAGGAGGAATAATTTTAAGGTGGGAGGAGAAAGTTTTAAAAAGGACATGGAGGAAACTTAGTTACACAGAGAGTTGTTCATGCGTGGAATGAACTGCCTGAGGAAGTGGTGAATGCAATTACAGTTACAACATTTAAAAGACATTTGGATAAGTGCATGAATAGGAAAGGTTTAGAAGGATATGGGTGGGACTAATTTAGTTTGGGAACATGGTTAGTGTGAACTAGGTGGACCTAAGGGTCTGTTTCCATGCTGTATGACTCAATGACTCTATCTGCTAATGTGGGAACCAAGAACTGAATTTGTGTGGTCAGCTGTTTAATGAGAAACATGGAATAGGCCCAGAATTCAACGCACCCTCTCAGTATTTGCAAATTTAAATTGTGTTAAGATAAGGGGTGTCGGTTGATCATTGATGCCAGTCATTTGCTTTCTTTATGTCTACTACATGGTGCAGTGACTTTAGCTCTGGATTTTATATTTCTTTGGATTCACATGTATGTTCTGATCAGCATCTGAATAAAGAATTTCCCTTCAGCTAAAGTGAGGATAAGAACATAACAAGTTCATTAGAGATAATATCCTTTAAAGGATATACAAGAATAGAATTTAGAAACATACAACACCATTGTCAGTGTAAAACTGAGGTAGCAAGCCAGGAGGGTTCTGGCTTGTAACCTGAATCTTGAATGAATTGGTTGGCTATTATAGAGAGTATAATGCCATGCTCCTGATCTATAAATATCCAACTATCTCAGACAGAAGTTGTGTGTAAACATCTGATGAGGACAGGACTGGGTAGTGATGTGTTTCCTTGTGGTTGACTTGACTTTGTTCACTGAATCAGCTTATGGGAAGTCAGCCTTTCAATCAAAATGAAATGTTTGAAGGAAGATATAAAAATAGTGCCCATCAATCCTATGAAGACTCCAGATGACAGCTAACAATGCCTCAAATGTTCAGCTAGTTAAGCCTGTGAATAGCTGTGGTGAACCAACAAGAGCCCACATTCATTGAAGCTAAAATGTGGGGCACCACTCAATTTTAGCAAGATGAATATTGGATAATGACAGAAACTTTTACCAGCATCAACTTGTTCCTGGTGTGTAAATAGAACCAGAGTGATTCCTTTCTATGAATCTGGTTCTCAGAAATGTTCAAGCTATTCATGAGGTTTCACAGATGATAATATATAACACATATTTTTTACTCTGAAACTTACCATTTGAAGATGAGGTTGAGCCAGTCTCCAATGACTGCCACCCAGATGAGTTTGACACCCACTGCTTCACACAGATGGAACCAGATGGGAAAGAAAACAAAGAAAGTGTTTCTCAGGTCAGCTGCCAAAGAGATAAAGGTGAACCAGCTCTGGGAGTCCCTGTAATTCATCTGTAGATACCTCACCAGTTCTATTCCAGAGCTGTGGAGCAGGTCCATCCCAGCGTCCATTCTCTGCACTTTTGGGAATTTAAGGCAATCTCTTTCACAATCTGTCCCTTTGCAGGATTAGCTCTTCTATGCTGTGCTGTGTGGTTCCATTATATACTGTGTTAGCTAGCAGTATAATGCGCAAACCGTGATCTTTGGACTCAAGCTAGGTTCACAGAGTCAATGAACAAAGCAAGATCATGTCAAGCTGACGCAAACATATTTGGATACCTATTAGGTGAAAAACACCCAAGCCGTTGGATTTATTGATTGAGCTAATAAACAATTAGAGGGGAAAGACTGAAGTGTTTTTAACATTATTGCACTTCACATAATGTAATTTCAGATACAGCAACAGTAGTCTAAGCCTGACCAATTTTTTAAATAAAGTAAACTCATTACAACATGTAATGTACTTCTTTATTTTGAACCAGAAGAAAGCAAAAGTTAACCCTGTAACAGCTGGGGTTTTCACTAATAGCTCAGATGCCTGTTAAGTTACTGTGTAAATATGTACAAACCAGTGCACTATCCTGTAAAGGTCATCTGAGGGGATACTGTGTGAAATTATATCAGTGCAAAAAACATTGTGCAAAATTTTGCTTGTTAAAGATAATCCAGTTTTTTTAATAGATGGGCATTCTTTCTGTTTAAATGATCAAAAGATTTGTTCCGATTTAACTATGAAGCCCTGAAGTTGCATAAGAAGTCCAGGTTTGTAGATTCAAACAGGATAACCAATTTCTTAGCATTTTACCTTCATCTCAGGAATTCACTAATCATTACTAACATGCTGACGTGCATAATTCCTGTGATAAAGTAGGTTTAAACAAGTTTTCCTATGGAAATTTGTTCCTTTCCTTTGCAGAAGTAAATAGAATTTACACAAGCCAACCAGAAGGTTTCAAGAAAATTGTGCATTTATACAGAAAAATACAAAAAGTTATTATTCATAATACCATTCCTATTATTCATAAGTAACATGGTTTTCACATTTGCATTCTTAGAAGTGAAAATATCAACGGCATATAGTGTCACCTGATGTAAATTGAATTTATTGTACAACCTACATACCCTTCATTGATTTCTACAATGGTCCATACTGCAATGGGCAGAACTTGAGAGGGTAGGGTAAAGTTCAAAATTCATATGTTTTTAATATGGATAGAGTAAATACACCTTAGCTTAGAGTGACTGTTAATATGTATTGGTTTTACCAGACTATTAGTCAACATTTGCTAAACCAGCTTAGAAGATTGAGGAATTTATGCGTACATTACACTAATGTTAAATTTAACAGTAAGGTGAAGCATAAAGGAAGAAATAATGAAAGCTTTGCCAGAAACGTCTGGCGAAAATTATAAGGAATTTTAATCTACATATTGCCTGGAAACATCAGATGAGTAAAGATAGCCTAGATGGTAGTTCCTTAGAACAGTATGTTCTGCAGCTGACCAGAGTGCAAGCTATAACAGACATTGTGCAATGACTTAGGATTAATTAATCATTTTATTGTGAACGTGCTCTAGGTAGCAGCACCATAATATGGTGGAATTTTACAGTCAATTTGAGAGAGAAAGGAGTGTGATGAAGGCTTTCTTTTTAAAATTTAAATGAGGGGAATTATAAGGGCATGAAAGTTGAGCAGGCTAAAGTGAATTGACAAATTATTTTAAAAGATAACTCAATATAGATGCAGTGGCAGATTTTAAGGAGATATTTCAGAATATACAGAATAGATACATGAGAACAAATAAGAAAAACTTCTAGGACTGGACATGCTATCTGTAGATAACTAGAAATGTTAACGAATATCCAGCTTAAAAAATAGATTTGATGAGTTAGCTTTCAAAAAAAAAGCAAAGTAAGACCAAAATATTAATAAGGAAGGAAAATTAGAACATGAGAGAGAGGTAACCAGAAATATAAAAACAGTTGGTTAAAATTTCAATAATTATTTGAAAGAGTTAACAAAGTGAACATTGGTCCTACAGAAAGTGAGATTGGCGAATTAATGATGGAAAAATAGGGAAATGGATAACTTCAACTCCAGTTTCCTGCCTTATCCTCATCATCCTTAATCCCCATACTGATTATAAATTCCATCTGTCACAGCCATGAATATGCTTAATGACCCAGATTCACCATCCCTTTTTGGTATAGCATTCCACAATTTCTCTGACAGAAAAATTTCCTCTTCATCTCTGTCTTAAATGGATGATTCCTTACACTGAGATTATGGCCTTTGGTCCTAGACTCCCCCTCAAAGGCCACAAGACAGTTGACATACCCAGGCAGAACTCTGGCAACTGGCAGCATTGTGGCAGTGGCTGGGGCACCAGGGCAGGATTCTAGCAGACTGTGGCAATGCGGCTAGTGAGTCCAGATGATGGTCAGCAGCGCAAAAGCGTAGAGAGATCAAGCCCAGCGTGGGAGACAGATTGAACTCTTGTAGGGAAAGCCTAGCAGGAGCGACTGCAGGCCCAAAACTAAAGAAAGACTGTAATTTGGAACTTTTAACTTTATTTCTTATTTACTACTTTAGACTGAGAAGAACTGTAATGTTGAATTCTTAACCTTTTTCTTTATTTTTCTACTTTTTACCTCAGCAGAGGGTGACTGAGAGTGAGAGGCATCACTTCAGCTCATACATTAGAGCCTAAAAGCTGTCACCTGCACCGAGGACCGGATTGTCGTGGGCCTAGTATCAATGAGTATTAAAGCCCCAAACAAAACTTCACTGCTGTATTTCCCTCCCACCCTCCCTCCTCTTCTAACCAAACAAAAATGGGGGAGAGAGACATGCAATTAAATGTTTGTTGGTAGCACAGTGAGAAGTAAGGTGTTGGCTTGAGAGGCTTCAGTGAGCAGCGGCTCAGCAAAAAGTACAGGTAAAGCCTTTTAACTTTCCTCTTTAGTCTTAGAGCATTTGAGATGGTAGTTAGGGAAGTGGCATGCACCTCCTGCAGGATGTGGGAGCTTAGGGAGACTTCCATCGTCCCTAATGACTACATCTGTGGGAAGTGCACCCAGCTGCAGCTCCTGGGAGACCGTGTTAGGGAGCTGGAGCCCGAGCTGGATGCACTCAGGATCATCCGAGATGCTGGTCTCACCTAAGGTGCAGGCAGAGAGTAGCTGGGTGACCACCAGGAAAGGCAAAGGGAGTAGGCAGAGACTGCAGGAATCCCCTGTGTCCATTCCCCTCGAAAACAAGTATACTGTTTTGGATACTGTTGTGGGGGGATGACTGATCGGGGAAAGCAGCAATAGCCAGGTCAGTGGCACCACAACTGGCTCTGGGGCACAGCAGGAAAGGGTACAGGTAAACAGGACCAATAGGACCTTATTGATAGTTAGGGGGACAGACAGGGAAATTCTGTTGCAGCAAACAGGAATCCAGGACGGTGTGTTGCTTCCTGGGTGCCAGGGTCCAGGATGGCTCGGAGCGGCTGAACAACATTCTCAAGGGGGAGGGTGAGCAGCCAGTAGTCATTGTGCACATTGGCACAAATGACATAGATAGAAACAAGGATGAGGTCCTGCGGAGTGATTATAGAGAGCTAGGAAAATAGTTACAAACCAGGATCTCTGGATTACTTCTAGTGCCATGTGCTTGTGAGGGTAAGAACAGGAGGATATGGCAGATGAATGCGTGGCTAAAGAATTGGTGCAGAGGGCAGGGATTCAGATTCCTGGATCATTGGGATCTTTTCTGGGGCAGAGGTGACCTGTTCAGGAGGGACAGTTGCACTGAACTGGAGGGGAACCAATATCCTGGTGGACAGATTTGCTAGTGCTGCAAGGGAGTGTTGCTAGAGACTGCTGGGGGGTGGGGTGGGGTTGGGGGTAGGGGTGGGGTGTGGTTGTCGTGGTGGGATCCTCAACAGCAGGGATTGAAGTGTGAGTCTGGAAGGAGATACAGTAATCAGAAATAGCAAGTTGAAGAAACAGGTCAGGCTGGAACAGGACAGGGAGCAGGGAATGCCTGTTGGATTAAATTGCATCTATTTCAATGCAAGAGGGCTGACAGGTAAGGCCAATGAACTCTGGGTATGGATAGGTACGTGGGACTGGGATATTATAGCCGTTACAGAAACATGGCTAAGGGAGGGACAGAATTGGCAGCTTAATATGCCAGGGTACAGGTGCTTTAGGCGGGACAGAGGTGGAGGAACAAGGGGAGGGGGAGTTGCATTTTTGACTAAGGGGAGTATCACAGCTGTAGTCACAGATGAAATAACTGAGGGATCATCCAGTGAGGTTTTGTGGGTGGAGCTAAGAAATAAGAAGGGGATGGTGATGTTATTGGGATTGTACAATAGACCTCCAAATAGCCAACGGGAATTAGAGGAACAAATATGCAGGGAGACTGGGGAGAGCTGCAGAAGAAATAGAGTGGTCATAGGGGGAGTTTTAATTTTCCTAACATAGACTGGGACTGCCATAATGTTAAGGGCTTAGATGGGGTAGAATTTGCTAAATGTGTTCAGGAATGTTTCCTCAAGCAATATATAGAGGGTCTTACTCGGGAAGGGGCAAAACGTGAACTACTCTTGGGAAATAGGGCAGGACAGGTGACTGAGGTGACAGTGGGGGAGCACTTTGGGACCAGTGACCATAGTTCTATTAATTTTAAAAAGTTATGGAGAAGGACAAAACTGGTTCACAGGTTCAAGTTCTAAATTGAGACGAGGCGAATTTTGATGGAATTAGACAGGAGCTTGCTGGGGTTGATTGGAGTAGTTTGATTGCAGGCAAAAGGACCTCTGGCAAGAGGGAGGCCTTTAAAAGTGTGATAGCTAGAGTTCAATGTCTATATGCTCCTGTGAGGGTGAAGGTCAAAGTTGGCAGAAGTAGGGAACCCTGGATGACAAGAGATATTGAGGCTTTGACCAGAAGAAATGAGGAGGCATGGCTCAGGAACAGGCAGCTGTGATCAAGGGGAATCCCTGGAGGTATATAGGGGATACAGGAGTTTACTGAAGAAAGAAATCTGGAGGGTGAAAAGGGGGCACGAGATAGCTTTGGCTGAGAAGATTAGGGTGAAACCAAAGAGATCCTTTAAGTATATTAAAAGAAAAAGAATAACTAGAGAGTGAATAAGACCGCTCAAGGACCAAAGTGGATATGTATATGTGGAACCGCAGGAGATGGGTGAGGTCCTTAATGAATATTTCTCCTCTGTTGTTACCGTGGAGAAAAACATGAACGCTTGGAAACTTGGGGCAGTTGGTGACAATATCTTGGGGACAGTCCATATCAAAGTAGAGGAGGTGTTGGAAGTATTAGAATGTATGAAGGTGGATAAATCTCCTGGTCCTGATCAGATATAGCCAAGACCCCTGCAAGAGGCTAAAGAAGAAATTGCGGGGACCCTGGCTGATATATTTGCATCATTGTTAGCCACAGGTGAGGTCCCGGAAGACTGGAGGTTAGCAAATGTAAAGCCCTTATTCAAGAAAGGCTACAAAGAAAAACCTGGGAATTATAGACCAGTAAACTTAACATCTGTGGTAGGTAAGTTACTCGAGAAGATTCTGAGGGATAAGATATACATGCATTTAGAAAGATGGGGTTTGATTACGAGTAATCAGCATGGCTTCATGTGTAGGAGGTCATGAGTCACAAATTTGTTCAAGTTCTTTGATGAAGTGACCAGGAAGGTTGATGAGGATGGGGCAGTAAACATAGTCTACATGGATTTCAGTAATGCCTTTGATAAGGTTCCACATGGTAGGCTGCTCTGTAAGGATAGATCGCATGGAATCCAGGGAGAGTTGGCAAATTGGATACACAATTGGCTTGTTGGTAGGAAGCAGAGAGTAATAGTGGAAGGATACTTGTTGGACTGGAACCTGTGACTAGTGGTGTGCCTCAGGGGTCTGAGCTAGGCCCATTGCTGTTTGTTATCTATATCAATGATTTGGATGAGAATGTACAAGGCATGATTAGTAAGTTTGTGAATGATACCAAAACGGTATTGTGGACAGTGAGGAAGCTTATCAGAAATTGCAGCAGGATCTTGATCAGCTGGGGAAGTGGGCTGAGAAATGGCAAGTGTGAGGTTTGCATTTTGGAAAGTCAAATCAAGGTAGGAGTTTCATGGTGAATGGGAGAGCCTTAAGCAGTGTAGTGGAACAGAGAGACCTTGGAGTTCAGGTGCACAGTTCTCTGAAAGTGGAGTCACAGGTAGACAGAGCAGTGAAGGAGGCTGGAACAGTCTATACTGGTTTTGTGGCAGATTTTGTTTGTGACCACACAAATGCATTTGAGCAGAACCTTGAACCACAACATCATTTTGGAAAATAGGCGCAGTTTTAAACATAATTTGTACCCAAATCACTGAATGTGCACATCAAATTCTGCCCCTTATTTTCAGTGAATAATATTTATTACCTGTTTTATTGCTCCCACTAATTTAATGTGGAGGAGAGGTGAACAAAATTCCTCCTGTTGATAACTACAATTAAAATTCACTGTGTACATTAGAATAGTCAACATGGGAAATTATGAAGCCGGAAAATATTAGGCTGGTGTGAAAGTCCAGAAAGTATCACATATACATGCATATCTACCTCAATCACATTTTGCACACATGCCAGTTTTGTCTCTAAGATTATCAACAAGAGGGTTATTATTAGAACAAGGATTATTATTAGAGCATTAATTTTGCCATAGTAATTGAAAGATACAAATATACCAGATTGTTGACTAACTTGACTGAATACAAAGGAATTGACTTACTGAATACTCCATACCAACATTTTTAAGTTCCCATCTGTGCCATAGCCTTCCTGATTAATGGCCTTCCTTCGCTGTGACTGGGTCAAAATTCTGGAACTCTCTCCTTAACAGCACTGTCTCTCCCCCAACTTAGACAGCAATGACTCATAACCGCCCTCTGAAATGGCCTAGCAAGCCAGATATATGTCAGCAACATGCTTCACTCTTATCATCTGGGGGTAATGCTGGCAGTACCATTAATGCCCACATCCTGAGAAATAGTTGGGTTTTTTTCTTTAAAAGTCAACTTAAAGTTGAAAATAACATACAAAGTTAGTAGTTTCTCTTTAAGAAGTAACTAAAATACTATGTCCATGATTTTCTGCTACTACCTACACAAAATGGATTGCAGTAGTCAAAAAAGCCACTCACCACAATCTTCTCAATGTCTGTTCACTCATAGTGATCTCTCACTTGGGACCCCTCTCCCACAGACCTATCTCTTTGGGAATTACAAATTCCCCTTCTCCCACCAGTTACTAATTCTCCTGTGGCAGTGCATCTGTTACCAGATCTAAAATGCTATTACTATTCACTGGAATACTCTTCCTTGTTGAGGACTGCCACAAGGGTTTATTCTGTTGAGTTCTTAAATCTTTAACTCTTCCCTGCTGCTGACTGTGCTACTAATGCAAGTTGAGTCTAAAGATTTCATACCGCTGCTGACCATGTACCATATCAGCAGTCAATCCAAATCCACACCGCTGCCAACAAAAGACTTTGTATGAGCTATTGGACATGCTGATGCTATCTTCTTAGAAATGGCAAGATCTGCCTGGTATAGTGCAAATGGGAAAACTGACATGCTATGATGTGACAGATAATTGTCAAATATCGTGATGTGATACATGTTAGTTCCCATGACATATGAATTGGACCTGGGTCATATAGTACTGAAGATTTGTTGGATATCATTACAGAGACTTTGAGAAGGTCCGGCTGTTATAGATCTCACTCCTTATATCCTACACTGCCCTCCCAAAGAGTCCACATGATATCACCGTAGTGGATGGTACTTATTGCAGCCCTCAGCACTAACCCTTTCTGACTCATAAACAATAGTGTATGGCAGTCGGCATTAATACAAAGTGATTAGTCCTACTGATCAGCAATTACAATTCTAAAGAAAATGTGCTCTAGACTCAAGAGTTCTTACTTGGCTTAATATGCAGCAATGTCTCTGAATTCTCCAAAGGACTTCTTGGAATTGTGTTTAAATGAGATCCTACTGTATTCTCTCTCTGTTGTGTTACATTACTTTGGACTCTTTCTATAATTTGAGCCCGACTGAATTATGTGAGACTAAGCAAAGTACAGGTTCTTGCCCCATAACCTATTATTCACCAACATTCAGGACTTCCCACGATCTGTCAGCAGTGGGTTTGCCATTGACTCCATGGAAACATCAATATCATTGATAAACAGATTTTTTATTTGATATTTAAGTGTTTCTTGTGTGTTTCTTATCAGATGTGTGGCAAATCAGAAAATATAACAGTGAGAGACTACAACATTTCAATAGTTAATTGAATTTCAAAATAATTTTATAAGTTGCTCCCTGCATTAAAATTTGGTTAGCAATAATTTTAAAAAAAGCAATTTCCAAAGCTCAGTTATTTTCTGTAGACAATTCAGGTGATTTTCATAAGAACTGTCCTTGTGAAACAGGAATGTGCGTGGGATTTCAAGCCCAGTCATTGCAATGACGCAGATTTTGTTGATAAAAAGGACATTGACTCTGTTTTTCATTGGGATTGCTCCATTGACTGACAGTGGAAGTGATAACAAAGGTGGAAAAACACAATTTCAGCACAGAGCAAAATCAATGGCAGTGAAGAAGTGGTTTTGAGATCCCTTTGAAAACAAGAGTTCAGATGGTTTACCTTATTTCCATGTCCCTTCAACTGTCACTATTCCTATACTCAGATTAGTGACCTCCCAGACACTTTTGTTGGCTAATATTATAGCAGTGCTCTACTATTGCCAGATTTGAAAAAGATTAGCCGCGTGTAATTTTGCTGTTAACAATATAATGAAACGCATTTTGAAACCGCTGATTAGTTTCTACTTAGATTTTAGAGACTGTTTCCTGAATTTGCTCATGAAGTGCCTCAAAAAATTACTGGCATCAAAGAAATACAAGACAAAATGCAACGAAGCCTCAAATGTTGATTGTGGAAGTTACTGAGCTGAGAAAAAGGCATGTAATTTGTGTATGGAAAACAAGTCACCACTCCAAGACAATGTAGTTTCAGTTACATCAATTAGCCAACAGTTAAGTTGGCCAGTGCAATGTTAATTAATTGTTCCAGTTGATTTCTCATTCTTCAGTCAAGGCTATGATGATTGTGCCTTCATACGAAACCATTGAATGTGGGAAATCCATTTTTCCCATTAAGCCGCAAACTGAAATAAGTTGCACTGAAACTCCCATTAGAAGTAACCAATCATAGGCAAAGTATCAAGATGGCAAAGCCTCGAAAACCTCTATCGACTGAAGGTAACCTGGCAATATTTCAGTCAGTTTTATAATCTCCATCACTCAATGCTGACAAGTCATTTCCATAGCCAAAACCTTTTAACCATTCTGACCATTCACATTTTCTATATTAATATGTGTCATTGTGCATTTAATTTCTGTAGATCATTTATACTGAAACAAAACCCTCTTGCGTCTAGTAGCATAACCTGATATTGTCAGCAAATTTCCTATTGCTACAGCGCCCTCTTCTATTTAGTTTCCAAATGATGTAAGCGGCAGAGATTGACGTGTTTTCGCTGATGAATTTTATAGGTTTGTCAAGCTCCAATATTTTCACATGGGCTGGCCTTGCATGAGGATGTTGGTTTCAGACACACCAATGACGCAGGTGCTGTTGCCAAAAAGGCCATTGACTTTGTTTTCCCCAGGCGTGCTCAAAGTTTTGTGATTATTGGCTGCGAATTGAATTGATAACAAGACAAAAAAAAATCCCCATCCCCTATATAAACCCTGATTCACCACAAGCAAAATCAGAAACTGAGCTCCAACCTAACAAAACCTGCAGTACTTTCCGAACATGCAGAGAATGGACGCTGGGATGGACCTGCTCCACAGCTCTGGGGTGGAGCTGGTGCAGTATCTACAGATGAATTACAAGGACTCCCAGAGCTGGTTCACCTTTATCTCTTTGGCAGCTGACCTGAGAAACACTTTCTTTGTTTTCTTTCCCATCTGGTTCCATCTGTGTGAAGCAGTGGGTGTCAAACTCATCTGGGTGGCAGTCATTGGAGACTGGCTCAACCTCATCTTCAAGTGGTATGTATTTTCAGAGAAGCTCTTTGGAGTTTTATTAAAGGTGTCATTTGAGCAATGGAATAGACCCTAATACAGGACAAATAGAAAACTGTGAATTGAGCACTTTGTGATATCCACTGGTCATGAAAAGCATTATATCAATGTTTTCTTTCTTTTTGAATTTAACATCAGACATACTTGTTTTCACCTGCTTCGAGACCTGGAAACTTGTGACTGAAGATCAGTAGTTCTTTTCATTTCAACCTTAAGTAGAGAAAATGAGAAATGTTTAAAAATTAACATATTTTGCAGCATTTCTTCTTGCAATTCTTGTGTCATGGTCTGCTTCCAGCCCAGTCTGTCCTGACCTAAAGGGTGGACAGATAACTGACCTCTAACTGACAAAGAGGATCTTGTGGTCAAGGTGGGAATATAAAGTAAGCACTAACCGTTTTGAAGGAAATGTTTGAACCACCTTGCCACTGCACCTTTCAATGATCATATACAGAGATTTGGAATATTTTTCTGGAAATCAAAAGAGTACATCATCAGGCAACCCACCAAATATTGAAGCTGCCTCATTCTGTACCATCTGAGATCCAACCAAATGATACTGATAAAAATAAATATGGTTTAGTTTTTAAATTATGAATATTTTAAATAAGTTATTGATATTAAAATAAATTATTTAACTTTTCTTTTGTATTTTTTTCTTGGTCTCATCTCTAGTTATTAAAACGTTTTTAATATTAACGAAGAAATCTCAATTGGGGATTCTAGTTTGTGGTTTAGTTCCAATTTAAACCTGCTGAATCATCAATTCCAATTTTCTACCCTTTGGTCCATTGGCCACATTATTGCCAGGTCCCTTTAACTCTTGCTAAGCCAGTGGTTGAAATTTCCTGCATTTATCAGTGAGGTTTTGTAATACAGTTAGGACATTTAAGCAAATTACATAATATGCTAATATTTGTGTCATACTGATTTTTTTAATAAAGCAAATTGATTTGTTGTATGGAAGAAAATTATTACTTGAGCATAACTCCAGGTGTTTAGGCACCGGTTCATATTTCATGGTGTTTAGTCAGAGATCAACTTAGCATCTAAAACAAACAAGCTTGAAATAATTCTAACTTGATTTTGCCTGTGGCTGCGATCAATGTAATAGAGTTAGGAAATCTTTCCTTCTCGTTTTCCATTCTGTAGTTTGGCATCACAAAGTTGTACTTTAATGAACTCTTGGCAAGAGTTAAGAAATCTCAACAGGGGATTCCAGTTTGTGGTTTAGTTCCAACTTTAACCTGCTGAATAATCAACTCCAACGTCAACTCTATGTGCCAGATCCCTTTAACTCTTCCTAAGCCATTGAAATTTTGAAATTTCTTGCATGTATTAGTGAGTAAGGTTGCCTAATCGAATATAAGGCATTTAAGCAAATTACATGATGCATATTTGATAAAGGTTAATCTTTCTCCCTTTTTTTTCTCTTACAGGTTCCTATTTGGACAAAGACCTTACTGGTGGGTCCATGAGACTGAGTTTTATGCTAATTCTTCTCTCCCTGTGGTGCAGCAATTTCCGATCACTTGTGAAACAGGACCAGGTACAGCCAAATCACTACTGTACAGAGGCAACAGCTAGAATTACAGTTTTAAATGCTGTTTATTTTTGCTTCTGCCATCTCCTTGCTGTCTACTTTTCTTGTCCAATATAACTTGATATTCTGCAATTGAAGTAAATCATACACTATTCATCACTATTAGCAGCTGAAGTAAAATTACTGAAAAAAAGACGCATCCTATCAGGGTTTTTTGTCTTGCACCCATCAGAACAAATGCAAGAATGACAAATTACAAAGGAGGAACAATTTATCCTGTATGAGAAAAGGGTGCTGATTAAATGACAAGTCAATTCTGAATCATTGAGCCATTGCCTTGGAGAATGCACGCAAGGATTGGACTCAGACAGGCGCATGGAAAAGGGATGGTGTCAGGAGCTAGGGAAAAGAACAAGGATAGTGGTTTTCAGCCTTCCCAATTTTAATTTTTGTTCGTCCATTACTGAACGTTGGATGAGAAGTCTGACAACTTAGAGATAGTGGAGGAGATGAGAAAGGCGGTGATGAGGTGGAGCTGGGCGTGTGTGAACCAGCAGTGTGCTTTCAGATGCTGTCACCTAGGAGCATGTAGATAGGAGGGGACCAAGGATAGGTCTTTGTGGGATACTGGAGGTGACATAATGGGAGATGAATTGCTTTAAAAAAGTTACAATGTATACTAGAAGATTTAGCGACATTTTCTAATCGAGTCCTTGGATGATGTGTTTGACAGGAAGTCCATCTGGTCATGCAATGGGTTCAGCTGGTGTCTGGCATGTAATGGTCACAGCACTACTGACCTTTGGATTACAAAAGAAGCAGCCCATCTTGCAAAAATGGTAAGATTTAAAACATTATACATACAATGAGGGCATAGAGATATCAGCACTGCTTCCAAACATTAGGTTTGCCCGGATTACTATGCAGTCATGCACGTTAAATATAGATTGTACATGAGGTGTAGATGCTGCTTAACGCACACAGTTCTGGATGTCAGTGCTTTATATGTATATAAATAAAAATTAACTATATTCAAATGCACTACTTCTACATTTATCAAGATCAGACTCAACTTAGAAATATTTACATACATTCAGTTTCAGAACAATGTTCTGTGGGTTGACTTGAATCCCTGCAAATAATATTTATGATTAAGTATCTTGTACCAAGTGTACATTATATCCATTCACATTATATCCATTCAGACACCTATTTAATTTAACCTTTAGCACAGGAGGAACAAAAATAAGCATCAGTGGATAAATATTAGCTGGTTGGATAGATGATGTAGTGTGCTGCAGTTACAATCCCTTTTGAGTTTCATTATTAGAGATTCATTATTTTACTAACTGTGTAATGATAATCTTCCCAACTTGTAGGTGTCTCCATGTGCTGCTATGGACCATGTTCTGGATGATCCAGGTCTGTGTCTGTGCATCCAGAGTGTTTCTGGCCGCTCACTTCCCACACCAGGTCTTTTTTGGAGTTATTTCAGGTCAGGATACTTTCTTTTAATTGAAAATATAAGAATATAGCTTTGTGCATTGATTCAGCTTGCACCCATTGGTTATATTCTACATAACTGAGTTCTCAAGGGAATATAAACACAATTTAATGACTTTTTGATCGCATTGTCCTAAACTGATACATTTCTGGTACGGATAACAATATGTGACTACAGAGTTAATGGACTAATTTGATATCATGCATTTAAGTCATCAATTGAGATGAAGCTCTAGCTCAGGTCCTATAAATGCTTGAAAGCTCTTTAACAACAGAAACAAAAGTCGTTAAAACTGCTTGAAACCCCTATTAAAATGATGCTGTTTCATATACACTAAATTCTCATAAAAGTATTTTGCTACTAACATACACTTTCTGTAATATACATATGCTATCAATCTACCAAAGATATTAAATACCTGGTTATTAATTGCTAATTTTCACACATAGGATTGATTGTGGCTGAAGTGTTTGGCCGGATTGATACAATCTACAATGTGAAGTTTAAGCAATATCTGAAGATCACTCTGTCCTTGTTCTCCTTCGCTCTGGGCTTCTATCTGCTGCTGAAAGTGCTGGGAGTAGACTTGCTGTGGTCAGTGGAGAAAGCCCAGAGATGGTGTGCCCGAGCTGAGTGGGTCCACATCGACAGCACTCCCTTCGCTGGTCTGGTCAGGAACATGGGTGCCTTGTTCGGATTGGGATTAGCTCTCAACACCCCCATTTACGTCGAAAGCTGTAAAGAGAAGAGGAGCCAGCAGTTCAGCTTCAGACTAAGTTGTATAGTGGCTTCATTGCTCACCCTGCACCTGTTTGACTCAGTGAAGCCCCCGAATCAGACAGAATTCCTGTTTTACTTTCTGTCTTTCTGTAAGAATGCTGCAGTGCCTCTGGCTGCTGTGGTGTTTGTTCCGTACTGTGTGTCACAAATTGTAAACCGAGAAGAGAAGGAAAAGCTTCTATAGATTTTGAAAATGAAACATTGACACAGGCAATAGGGTGTGTCGTCATGGGGTCTTAAAAACACTCAGTCTACATTTAAATGCTTCATGTACAATTCACAATAAAGGCAGTATGGTTTTTTGCTTAAAACTCATTTTCAATATACATTTTTCTCTGAGACAGAGCAGAAAATGACACCAACCAAAATGCTTGCAGTCACGCATCAACTCCAATGTGACAGGTGGAGATGACTGTTGGATAAAAACAATGGACAAGACAAACAGTTTTTCCTAAAATGTCCCTCCTTCCACTGGTCGCACAGTATTGTCAGATTTGTTTTAGACACTTCTGTTGAGCTATTGTGTCTGACAAAGGATTGCTGCAGAAACATTTTAAAGTCATTGTTATCATTTGTTGTAAACCGGGAATGGTAGTCTACAGTCATCGAGCAATTTGGAATTTGTTTCTCCAGCCAATCTTATCGTATTTGGATCATTTTAACTTCCCTGGGCCTATACTTTCTAAAATGGATCTCAATGATTTACATAAGGGCCTAGGTTTACACAGGTCATAACCACACTGTTGAGAAGCTGATTAACATTTGCACCACAGTGATTTTCTTTTATTAAATACCTGTTGTAGAGATTAGAAAGGGTGGGGTATCAAGATACTGATATATTTGGGGTGAGTTGCTTCACCCTCTCACATCTTAGGTTGCCAGAAATCAGGCTCAGGAAGACTGCTTACATTAGAGCTGTTTGCGTCTGGGTTAAATGGCAAAATGTTTCCACTTGGTTCCACAAGGAAACTAATGGGTCTCCTCTACCCGGGGCTTCAACTTCCTTCCTAAAAAACCTTTCCAACGTCCTCCCTCTTTTGCTACTTCTGTGGGTTCTTGTCAGCAGTAATTGTAAAAATGTCAATGGTTCCTACTGCTTTGCACTAGACTACACCACTTAATGAATCTAGAGAATGGCTGCAGCTCATTTAGAAGAGAAAGGTTCAGTGCTATGACATTTGTGGATCACAATTCTTGTGCAGCCCTTTTGGGAGTGAGGATGACTTCTTTTCCTCTCTGGTGTTGTGGGTCCTGCAGTGACTAAGTAATGTCCAGTGCTGGATCTGCAAACCCTTTCCCAGGGAGGGCAGGTGGTGTTTGCTGAAGTGTGTGGCTGGAGTTTTCAAACACTCCTCCCATCCTTTGACATAGGCCTCCATCTGGGCCTGTTGAAGGGGCTGGAAATGGATGTTACCATTGCTTCTTCTCCAGTTTGAGTGATACAGAGCTAGCAATTCTCATGAGTTGGTGGGGACGTTGCATTTTTACGAGGACGATCTAAGGATGTTCTTCAAGCATTTCCTTTGCTTTCCTAATAACTGCTTGCCGTGACGAATCTCAGAGTAGAGTTTCGGACATCTCACATCAGGCACATAACGAATGTATCCAATCCGCCACGCAGATTGTCTGCGTCCAGTGCCTTGATGCTGGGATGTTGGTCTGAGAGATAAACCGATATTGGAGTGTTTATCCTGCTAGCAAATTTGCAGGGTTTTACAGATGCATTGCTAGTGATATTTCTCAAGATATGTCTGCTCTACATTGTCTACATCTTTGATGAAACATGAAGGTTGGTGACCTGCTGCCCTGAAGACCATGAGTTTTGTGTCAGGTTTGAGGTCTTTGTCATCAAGCATTCTGTTCCTCAGACAGCCAAAGACTGTGTATTTCATTGGTATTAGTATTTGGAGAGTGGCTTCACCAATACTTTTTTTTAAAACCTTGAAGATCTTGAAATTTTGTTAATTTTTAGCGATTGCTTCTGTTTGACGAGTGGTATAAAGTATGTGACAAGATTAAAACCAAATTTGAATAAATGATACAATTAGCTTTCTTTCAATGGCATAATCTGTATGTTTGATTTTGTTATTTCATTCTGAAAATTTTCCAATAAAGAAATTGACAAATGCTGACGCTGCCTGTTTCTTTTGCTACTGAGGAATTAAGCTTATGAATGAATTGTTCAATTTCTTACTACAGACCACCTGTGGAACAGTGTATTATAGGATGGAACATCATGTGGAATATATTGAGCCTACTTTGACTTTAACCGCAGCATCATTGCAGAAGGCAGGAACATTGTATTATTATTATAGGGATAATAATATAGGCTGCATTAGGTATGTATTATTCTGCTGTTTAGGACAAGCTGAAACCTTTAAAACCACACAAGGTCTACAAGTACGTTCTGAGCTCAATAAAATGTTAGCTACAGGGTGACTGTTAATAGGAAATAGTAGGAATGACTGACAGCTGTCATTTGCATCTGCAGCAAAGTTTTACATTTCAAAATTGACTTCTAAAGTCCTACAGACTCAAAACATATAGATGATAACTGAAGCATTTAGGTCTCATTCCCAGAGATCTCTTTTGAAAACAATGACAATTATTCATGGGTGCAAACATGATTATCCTCCTTTTGATTTGTAGTATGTTAGCATAACATTTCCGGTTGGTGATTACCCATTTAAGTGTACTCCATTTTATAAGGAAGTACCTTATAAGGGAGTAAAGGACTGTGGGGAACAGGCAGGAAAGTGGAGTTGAGACCATAATTCAATCAGTCTTAAATTTACTGAATGGTAGAGCAGGCTCAGTTGGCCAAATGACCTATTCCTGCTCCTATTTCATATTACCTTATGAGCAAATGTCCAGAAGCAATCCTACAGATCAGAAAGCTTGATTTGTAGAATAGCCAGTAACTTACACACAGAAATAGGTCATTCAGCCTAACATATCCATGCTGACTACTTGAGAGAATAGTCATGCTTAGTCCCATGTGCCTGCTTTATGTCTGAAAATCTGTAAATTACTCATTCTCAAATTCATGTTGCACTCCCATTTAAATTAATAATGGAATCAGCATTTCATATGCAGGATTCCAGATGGGAACAAGTCTTCGGGTGAAAAAATGTTCACTTCATCAATGCTTTAGGTAGACTGAGACTGTTCTTCTTGGACAGAAGAAAACCAAGAGGAGATTTGATCATCTTCAAAATCATGAGTGGGCTTGACAGAACAGATAAGGAGAATCTGTTCCAGCTCGTAAATGGATCAAGAACCAGAAGATACAAATTTAAAGTGATTTGGAAAAGAAGCAGATGCAAGCTGAGGCAATTGTCCTGAGCAGATCAGATCCAGAATGCACTGTTGGGAAATATGGTGGCTGCAGTTTCACCTGAGGCATTGAAGAGGGCATTAGATAACTATTTAAATGGTAATAATGTGCAGGGTTATCGGGATAGAGCAGGACAAAGGCGCTAAGGCATGATGTTAATTTGGAGAGCAGGGGCAAATATGATGGTCTGAATTGCCTCCTTCTGCCACATCACCTCTGCGATTCTGTGAGCTTTATACTCCTCTATTTATAAACCCAAATAACCTATGTGCTTTTTAACCATCTTGTTCACTTGCCCTGTCTCATAACTTTAAGGATTCCTGTACATGGACAACAAAGTTTCTTGCTCCTGTACGATTTTCAAAATCATGTTATTTGTGGTGTCTTTCAATTTTAATCCTCCTGATATTCTTTATTTCACATTCTCTATAAGAAGCGCCATTGGCCATGCCTCTGCCCAATTCAACATCCTGTTCATTGCATCCAGAGGCCTTTGACCATCCTCTTCATGATGTACTGCACTGTCAAGTTCACATTACTTGTAAATTTCATATTGAGACTCCTTACACTGAGTCTAGGTCCTTTATAATGAAGTGCATTCTCGGTAAAACTTTCTGAATCAGACTTGAAATTGCAAACAAGTTAAGCATAGTTACATATAGTTATATAGTTCCCAACTTGGATTTTTTTTTTACTTTGGATTTGCTTGGGTGAGATACATTTGTATTTTTTGGCTGCAGTTCAGGAGGTCAGTGCGCAGGAGGTCATCTGTTCAGTATCATGGGTATGTTCAAAAAGCTCTGTTTGATTGGGAGATGGTAATCCAATGGAGTTGATCTTTTCTGCCCTTTGGAAAGACCTGACCGACTGCAGCAATGTAAGCAGGTGGCTCACTGCCACCTTCTCAAGGGCAATGAGGGGATGGGCAATAAACACTGCTCAGGCATGTGACACCCATATCAATTGAAGGAATGAGCTGGCCGCACATTCCCACAGTCTCTGCAGGGAAAAATATAAAATAGAATTATATGAGGAAGAGAGGTTGTTGCTTGCACTGCCTTCATGGATTGCCTTTGCGGATTGTAATATTAGGAATTTTGTTCTGTAAGCTTTCAAAACAAGAGCCAGGCATACATTATAGAGACTGGGACATCAAGTAACCTTTTGTATATCCACTTGCTTGAACTGTCAGTAATTCTTACTTAGTACCTTCAGAGTAAATTTAGTACCTTCATAGTAAATTTGACGTCAGGGCAAGAATTTTCTACATCTTTAGACATAGATAATTATAAACATATCACCATTACATTAGTAATGAGACATCATGATTCAATCACTTATCTGTCAGTATAAAACAATTAAACATAGCTGTATTTGCCAACGCAGAACTAAGAGACTAAATTAACTGAAATTGGCTACAATTGAGAAAGAAAAACAGCTATTTGTGACACAGTCTTTACCCAAAATATGGTAAGGAATATCCCCACAGTTTGTTACATTATAAGGAGGCTGTTGGAATGCTGGAATATTTCTCTGGTGCTTGCTTCTTGTAACTTTGAATGTGCCTCATGGTCATTTCTCACTCTGAGCAAAACTGGCTGATCTCTAAGTAACTTCTCTAGATAGATGTAAAGACATGTATCTAGCACTTTGTACGTCAATGCTAAATGACATTTCTTGGAACAAGCTAACACATTGCCTCATCCATCAGATCTTTTACTGAAAAGGAGATGCAACATCATTACAAGCTCATTATACAGGAAATTACATTGATTTTTGTTGACTAATAGTTGCATATATAATTGTCAATTTCAAAAAAACACTGGAAATTACTGCAAATTACTGCATGAACAAGTGACTCACTCAATTGCATCAAATTACTCCTTATTCTAAGGTCATTTAAAATAAAAGGCTAAATATGCTTTTAAAGTATCAGAGACAAATTTGGTGTTAGCATGTAAAGTCACATTAGTCCCACTCTCTCATTAAAGAGAGACAACTGGTAATAAATTGAACAGGCAAGGTTAGGAAGGCAGAACCTGCACAATAACCACAGGAACTGAACCTGCACTGTTGGTGTCATTCCAGCTCATAAACCAGCCATGCAACCAACCAAGTTAAATCACCCACTGCTAACACACTGAGGCTTTGCAATAACTACATTGACTACCTTGATTTCCCAGTTTAAATCTTGTCTATGATAATTCAGTGTTAGTGAACAAAGTGGAGTCTATATAACATTCAACCTGGTCTTTTCCAAAACCATACAAATAATTGAACTACAGTAGCATTAGAGAACAGTGCCATCTCCTGAAATGAATGTTTGCTGCTTTACCACAGAATGAGATTGAATTCAAAATGTGGCTCAAGGAAGTCATTCAGCTTGATTTAAAAGTTGTCAACTTTTTATTCACCTATATCTCCTCACCCATGCTGATTTAAAGTGGGGCACAACTAAGGCTCGTATAGCCAACAGCTACTCACAAAGATTTCTCAATAGAGTTAGTGGATTGTGTTGATCAGCCAGAATCCCAATGGGTTTTCTGTACAGTTTGAGCCTTTGTGAAACAGAAGTTTATTGTTGTGCCCAAACAATTTGGCATGCTTTGAACAAACTTGAATCTTTTATTATGATGTGGTTGGTATTCAACTCCAGCTCACATCTCAGACTTTGAGGTTTATTGAATGTTGTTCGTACCATTGATGGCATCTTTTGTCTACACTCCCAAAAGTCAGTATTTAATCTTAATCAGCAGCTGATGTGTAATCCTCATATTCATCACATTATCAGATGAATTATGGAAATCCAACTCAAAAAGACAATATAAATTATTTTCATTAATCCCCCCTCAGATCACATACAATGATGGTTAGCATCTAGATTTAATTACATAACCTTTGCTACCTTATATTGACTTTGTTATCATGATGGGGATAATGGTGCAGCAGTGAACATGTGATTGAGTTGCATTAAGTTGTACCACTTGAGGTCATTCAAAACGGTGCTGCCCATGTCTTTACTTGCACCAAATCCTATTGTGCTATCATCCCTGTGTTCACTCACTCACATTGGCTCCCGTCAAGCAATGCCTTGCTTTTTAAATTTTCATCCTTGTTTTCAAATCTCTCATCGGTCTTGGGCCCCTCCCCTCCCTATCTCTGCAATCCACTCTAGCCTCACAAACCTTCTATCTTCTTTCTACTAATGTGCATCCCTCAGTTTTTAATCACTCCAACAATGGTGACCATGCCATTAGATACCTAGGGCCCTAAATTCTGTATTACCATCCTATAACTTGTCCCTTTGCTTTCTGCTTATAAAACACTCCTTAAAATCTACCTCTTTGACCAAGCTTTTAGTCATCTGATCTAATATCTTCTTATGTGGCTTAATGTTATACTTTGTTTTCTAATGTTCATGCAAAGCATCTTGGGACATTTTATTTTGTTACAGAGGCTATATAAATGTAAATAGCTAATGCTGCTAAAATCTTACTGGATAGTGTTTCATAGTTGTTGAATATTAAAAGATGACAGCTGTATTTCAGATCCCACATAGTTTTCTTAAAACATAAGAATAAGGAATAAGAGTAAGCCATTTAGCCCTTCAAGCCCTCTCTCCCATTTAATAAGACATAGCTGATCTGATTTTAAGCCCAACTCTACATTCCTGCATAGCGCCTATAATCTTTTATCCCCTTGGTAATCAAGAATCTATATATTTCACCCTTAGAAATGTTTAAAGATCTGCAACCACTGCCATTTGAGAAAAGGGAATTCAAAAGGCTTTCAACTCTAAGTGAAAAAAATGTTTCCTCATTTCTGTTTTAAATGAGATGCTGCACCTTTAAAAAAAAACTATGACTCCCAGCTTTCGAATCTCCCACAAGAGGAAATACACTTTTGAAATCCTCTAATCAAATCCCCTCAGGATCTTATGCTTCAATTAAGTCACCTCAGGCTCTTCTAAACTCCAGAGGATACATACTTAGCCTGTTCAGTCTTTCCTTATAAGTCAATTGCTCATTCCAGGTATTAGTTGAGTAAACCTTCACTGAACTGCTGCTAGTGCAGTAACATCCTTCCCTATGTATGGCAACCAGTACAATCACAAAATGTCAAAATCCTGTCAAAAGGATTTCACATATCTGATTTGAAATCAGTATGAATCTAATTTATTTACAATATTTATGATCCAGACTGGTGATTACAGCAACAGGTATGCCAAAACTCCCTTAAATTACATAGCCACCCATTTCATACTGCTTAGTCAGTAACACTTGATTCATTTAACACTGAATCTATATTGATCAGCTTGTTGAGTTTTTTTTTGTAATACTCTGTCTAGGAAGTGATTCCTAAATAGAGAAAAGTGAGAACAGTTTTTGTATTAAACAAAGGAAAAACTGAGGCAATCTGCCTTCACTGCACTTTACTTCCATTGGAACAACCACACTCTTTAGGATAATCAGAGGGAGTTGGTCAGGACATCAGCAATGAACATTTAAGGAAGACAGCCACTTTTAATCTGCACTTTTCACCATTTTGCAAAGATTAACAAAGAAAATCTTTGCACTAAGCTAATATGCAAGGTCCATGGAATGGATCCTCATTCAATGCAGCTGCAACCATGGAAACAAAAACTTCTTTATGTTGACTGTGTCATTTTGTATCCTCAATGGCAATCTGACCAAACTACCAGCTGACTATGGATATTATATTTCCCCTGCAAAAATGACTGCTTTGGCATAGTTTCCATTGCACCACCTGATGCAGAATGAGAAACCATGGATCCAGTCTAACAAGTATAAGCCTGCTATTCATTGCGGTTTTAAACCTACAGATTGCATTATTGCTGAAGACTGTTTCCCTGATGTAGTATTACCAGTAGCTTTAAAAGAACACTTCTCACTTGTAACAGTCAAGGTATTACTGATGATGTACCTCTGATGACAAACATTGTTGACCCATCTATTTATTCTATTATATACATTTTATAAAAGTGGCCAATTAATGTGCAGAAGAAATAAAATATTCAGCATGTTATTGTTGTGATATGCCAAAGTAATTCAGCTTTTGATTGAAATATGTAGCCCATGGCATTTACTTTACCAGATGGCATGCTTGCAATATAAAAAATATAAAAAATGTATTTAAAAATGAAGTTATAAAAATGTTTATAAAGTAGAAATTCTATTTAACAATAAGATATGAGCAATATCACTCCATTATGTTTGTCATAACTAACTTTATGACTTGATTGAGAAGAATAAACAGATGGAATCATGGAATTTAATCCGCTCACTACTCATAAAAATCCTGGGAAAATGCAGAAATTCTATGTTTAAAAAAAAGCACCATTTGACTTACTGAATCACTAGAAACTAATGACCTAACTAAAAGCAGCTCTCATTTGGAATGGAGCTTTCAAAACATTTTAAAAGTCCTCAAAACTCTTTAACAAAAGTGTAAATTAAATTGGTTAAAAATGATTAATTAGTCATAACTGATGCAGCCACTCAACTTTGAGACATTTCCAATATTGTACCCATGGCTTTGGCCCATCTTTTATTATGTTGTAATGATGTGTCAGTCTGAGCTCAAGTATGCAAAGTTCCTTTGTGTTCCCTTAACTGTTCAATTAATCAACTGTTACATCGAGGCATGAAGATGTCAGTCAGTCTGTGAGCTTCTAAATGTGATGTTTTTAACCATAAGGGATTTAAGGGAGAGCTATTCTCCAGTCACTGAGTTTTGTGCATTAGCTGTGCATGTTTAGAATTTGCAAGTAGTGGTTGCTTCAGCCTGGCAGGATTTCCTGTCCATTATGGTCTGATGGATAAAGAATCTTGTGGGGCCCTGCACTTCAGCACACAAAGGTGACAAGAGCAGGAATTTGAGAAACCTGTCCTGTACTCTCCTTTATTATTTGACATTGGATTATTGGGACTACTAACAGTTGTATAACAAAGCAACAGGTTGAATATAAAGTCAATTCAACCCCAATATAATGAATAGAGCTGGAGAAACTGCAAGTAGGTCATCTATTTAAATGATTTCTTTGCAAAGAAATAACAGAGTTTCATGGAAAGTGATGGTCAGTCATGATCAGTGCTCCCTCTAAACTGCGCAATGGCATGTGTGCCACACTTCCAGGATTCTGCACATGGCAATTGGCACTGGCACACTGATCACAGCATTGACTTCCAGTTCCAGATGTCACTGCTGCACACGGTCCTTGGAGTCCCATGCAGCCGGGAAGAAAATTAGAGGGAATTCTGGTCATGATTAACTTCTCTTCTCAATCTGATTATGTCCTGTTAATTATCAACAGCTAATAAGTCTGTTCCATAGGTAAAATCTGGGAAGTTGGGTATACAGGTAGCATACTCTGGTGTACATGCTACAGGGTTGTTCTCACATCTTTCTGCATCCTCAGAAGCATCAATGTAGACAGCATCTTCAGCATTAACTGATGGATCATTCTGAAAGTAATTGATTGGCTTTAAATAGAAGCCAATGCCATTTCCAGCTGTGGCAGTATTGGGAACATCCTCTGAGTGGGGAATGTGGAGAAAGCCAGCTGTAATCCAAGCTACCAGGTCCTGTTGATAAACATGAAGAAAATAGGAGCTTGGTTACCATTTTGGCACGTAACTGATTAAAAAGTACAAAGTTTCTCCATTCCTTTCCTGAAACAATGGGGGTAAAATTGACCAGCACTAGCAGAGCAAAACAGACTTTACAGGCACAGAGCTCATAGAGTCATTGAGCTGTACAGCACGGAAGCAGACCCTCCAGTCCAACTCGTCCATGTCGACCAGATATCCTAAATTAATCTAGTCGTGATGACATTGTAGAAGGCTATTCGGCCCACCAGCCTATATTGAATCAGCATTGGGGTCCTTCTTCCTAAGTGGAAGCTTAATCAATGGCAGTAAAAGCAACAAGGCCTAACCAATTCCAGCATCATACATGAATGTGTACCAACGCAACACAGTGGAATATAGAACCCAAGCAAAATGTATCTTCTTTAGTCCAGGGTAACGATGCCAACCATTGTTACCCAAACAGTGCCCTGGCTGGACTCAGCAAACTCAGCACATTCTGTATTACCATGGCTTGTCAAACTGCACAGTGCAGTTATCTTTCAAATATCTTGTGGTACACAAGAATGGCCTGGGATTATTCTCACAACACTCTCAGTTTCTGTGGGCAATCACAATTGTAATCCATAGTTGGCACATCCAGGAAAATTATATCTCCACAATCAACTATTTTTTATGCACGTATTTAAACAAACCTCATTTTGAATATCTTCATCATCAATAAAGCCAGCAAAATAAACAGCAGGATTCCAAGGGTTATTCTGATTGTACATGCTGCTGCTTCTCTGTTCCTTCTCTTTGTACTTTGTCACTGCCAACTGGTACCTATATTGAATGAAATAACAACATTAACTCACTTTGTCCATAAAATGCATGGATTCAAATACAACAAGTCACATTTATGGAGGTTCTTTAAGCAATAAAGTCCCTAAGCACTTCATAGAAGGTATACAAAACACATTTTGATACAACATAAAGAGACAGTAGGCAGAGGACCAAAAGATTTGTCAAAGAAGGAGGCTTGAGGGACTACATTAAAGGAGAAAGAGAGGCAGAAGTGTTTAGAGAGCTCCAGAGCTTTGGAGGGAGCTGGAGACTAAATACTAAAGAAAAGAAGACATTACTGTGCATGAAAAGGGTAAAGTGAATGAATAGGGCATTTGGATAGCTACTAGTATGGCAAGGGTGAGGGTTAGGGCTAGGCATAGAGAAGATGGTGGATTGGAAGCAGACCAAAAAAGTGATGGTCCAAAAATGAGAGGAGAAAAGGAAAGGCAGGACTTGCACAGAGGAGATGAATGAAAAGTAGATCATAGACAAACAGTTATACAAAAATTAAATTGTAAGAGAAGCATGTAGAGAAAGACAACAGAAATTGGAAAGCAAATAGAAAACAGGAGAGAGAAAAAAAATGACAGATAAGTGGAAGAACAGTGACAATTTTGCTCATTGACAAAGCATAGAACATCAGCTTACATGACTTTAATGCCATTCCCTATTGTTTAACAAACACAATAGTATTACAATTTAATGATGATATTAAAGGCAATTTAAGTCGCTTGAGTAAATAGAAACTTATATTACCATGGATTCATAAATTTATTTTACATTTATCAATTTTATTTAATTGAAAAAAATGGCCCCCAGTGTAGTTTACAATTGCAAGAAATCAAAGATCAGTTGTGTTATTTTAGTACTGTTGTTAGGCAAGAGTACCAGACGGTCAGATAATATTCAGTAACTGATGTTTTACAGTTTTCAAAAGACTGAAAAGTTTTAGACATAAATACAAAAGATTATGTATTTTTCCAGGTCTTGTCACGTACTGCAGAATGGTATATTGTTACTTTATTGACTGCAGTGCTGTAGTCAGCGTCATGGTAATCAAGATATATATGGATATACGCATATAGCAATACAATTTGTAACTGTTTTCAAGTAATACAACAATATAACAGCAACTAAGAGGTAAGTGCACCATACCTTTGCCAGGAAATAGCCTTTTCTTCTGGAATTTCTTCAGGTATACTGTCAGGATTAAAGCTCACCACTTGAATCCTATAACCGCGATAATGGTTCCAGTTATTTCTATGATGTAGATTTACAAAACTCAGGTATCTAGGCATTTTTGTCCCAGTTCTGAAAGCAGCCTGGTTTTCCGTGCCTAATATCTGCTTTTTCACTATGGGTACATGTATCTTCTGGTCATTTTTCCATGGGGCTGATTTGAGCTCATATTCCACACCCTTTGTTTCAATAGAGTTACTTGTTCCTAAAAGCAACAAAAGTAGATATGAACTGATAATCATTCAAAATATAAAATTAGAATGTTGTATTAGACTTTAATTTTCCACTTATGATGAGTGAAACCTGATTGGGAACATGCATTTATCATATTTAGAAAATAAAAATCAATACACCAGTACAGTAGGAACTTGCAACAATTAATTCTGTTAAAAATCCTTTGTTGGCTTTATGTGGCAACTGGTGCAAAATTGAAATACACATTGGTTGCTGTTATTCTGCACATTTTGCATTGTTGCAACGACAACCTACTCCACAGCATGCAGAAGATGTATTACAACAGGCTTAACAGTTGTTAGTTCTAGTCACTGTCTTCATACATGGATAAATATCGTAATAAAGCCCTGAAATATCTAATGATGTGACTTTTGCCTCCATCAAGGTGTTTTACCTGCTATGGTAATGCTTATGCTGTATCCCACAATATAAGCAACAAGCTGTGGGTATTGAAGAATCCAACAGTTATTTAATACAGCTAACAATTCTATGCAAACTACATTTTTCAGACTGGGCTAATGTTAAATGAATAGGTTATATCAGCAGAGCCTGTATCCAGTACAGTGTACACTCCAGTGATCCCAGGTAAGATGGAGAATGAGGCCTTCCTGACCTCAGGTCACATATTGTAATGATGTGTTGATATCATGAGCCTGTCTCTTAAAAAGTATATTGATCCTGAGACACAAGACAGCATCTACATCTTCAAATATCCGCCCAAAAAACAAACAATGGCAGCAAACCTTATCAATGATGTCTAGTTCCACATTATTTTCTAAACCTATATACAATTTTCTGTAGAGATAGTAAGAACTGCAGATGCTACAGTCAGAGATAACACAGTGTGGAGTTGGAGGAACAGTGTGGAGCTGGAGGAACACAGCAGGCCAGGCAGCATCAGTGGATCAGGGAAGTTGATGTTTCAGGTCGGGACCCTTCTTCAGAAAGAATTTCTGTCTACATTGCAGGGTAAGTAGAAAAGGAGTAGCGCAATTGGAACTGGCTCTGCTACAGCGGCAGTGCCTTTGCAACTGAAAATATGCTCTTAACTTTGGCAGTTCAAACAGCCTCAGGCCTACAAAACTAAATTCTTAGACAAGTTAACACTTATTTACGGTGTCAGCGTTTCCATGCACCTTCAATGTTGAATATATTAAATTGTATGTGAAACTAGAGTCATGCTGGGACTATGTATTCATTTGTATTTTTCAAAGAAACATTACAGTATTAATGAGGAAATGATTCTTGTACAACAAACGTCACTTAGTGGAGTACACATGCTTATCACCTGAAGGGTTGAAAAGCAGCTTGATAAAGATGTGTTTCTTTTGATATTATTCAGGAACTGATGCATTGTCAAATAGTCAGCAGATATAGCATTATTTTCCAGGGTTGTCAGTAAAGTGTCTTCTTTTTGTGTAAGCTCAACTTGCTAGAAGTTATCTTTAGTATTTATCAGAAAATCTTAACTCAGTTCTATGGCAATTTCTAAAATTGTTTACTAAGTACAATTGCCCTGTTCAAATTCTTAGTATAGATACTCAGCTTTTCCAGTTTTCAGATCTGTATCCATAATTGATGCACAAGGTGGGAACTCACTTACGGGAAGAAATAGACCTAATATTATCAGGACATCAGAAATTCCCTCCATATGACAGGAAAACCTTGGAGTTTGTATATTGCTTTCACATTGGAATAGACTAGAATGTGTTCAGTATCTCTGGTTTTCGCACAAATCCACCATACATTTTGTATGCTTTACTCATTATAGATTATTCAATATAGTCTATCACCTATGCTATAACTAACATAAATGTAAAGTTACCATAGTTTCAATGGATTGTAGGGCTTCCCTCTCATTAGAAAGATGACGGTGGTGATTTAACCTGACGGATACAATGCCTCAGGGGAGGAGGGTGGTGTTGTTGGAAGATGTTGGATCCTGTGAGAGATGGAAGTGTTTTGGGTTGGGGTAGGTCTGGTTAGTGGGGATGGGGGATGGTGATTGTCAGTGATCCTGGGGATGTTAGTGATGTCAGGAGGTATAGTTGGGGTATGGGGTGAGATACATTGGGTTGTCAACTTATTAGTTATCTGCACACTAGGATTTTAATTGTCTAAACTTTTTCTGGATGACTATTAAATTAACAGAAGCAGAGCAGAATTTGCAAATTATTTATGTTTTAATTTAACAGTCCATCGATTTCCACTGATTCGATTTCTTGAGTTGTGGACATCTCACACATAGGATTCATTGCTGGTTTGCAATGTTTACTAACTTGTTCAGGACATTCTATATCTTCTTTCTGCTAATGTGCTTGATTGCATTAAATACCCCTACAACTTCAACCATTGTCATTAATTTATCAATGGCATATCTTGGCTTGTGGGTCTTTGCCCCAAACTTGCAGCTTTGCATTAAACATTCAGTCTGATGATGTGAATGTTCAATTGTTAGCAGTCCTTGAATAGATGCCTCATCACAGAATTGTTAGTGTATAAGGAGGCTTTTCAGTCCATCCTGTGAATGCTGGCTCTCCAAATGAGCATCTCAGCTAGTATCATATTCTTGTTACCCCCCCATAACCCTGCACATTGCTCTTTTTCAAATTATAATTTAATTCCCCATTGAATGCCTGTGCTGTAACTGCCTCCAGCACACTCTTTGGCAGTGTATTCCAGATCTGAACTACTCACTGCAGGACAAAGTTTTGTTTCATCATATCACTATTGCTTCTTTCACTAACTTCCTAAATCTTTCTTTTAAATCTATGTACTCTCGTTTTTGATCCTTTCACAAGTGGAGACATTTTCTCTCTACTTCCTCTGTCCATACCTCCTACATTGAATCCGATTTTTTCTGCCTCCTCTATTCTGTGGAGAACAGTCCCAGCTTAACCAATCCATCTTTATGACTGAAATTCCTAATTCCTGGAACTATTCCCACAACCTCTTCTGCGCACTCTCCAACGCCTTCACATCCTTCTTAAAATGCAACTCTCAGAAGTGGGTGCAATACTCCAGCTGAAGCTGAATTAGTGTCTTGTGTAAATTTAACACAACGTTCTTGATTCTGTATCCTATGCCCCTATTAATATTGTACAAAAACAATACAGCTTTATTAACTGTGTTCGCCATCTTTCCTGCAACCTTTACTGACTTATGCACATTTACACCCAGGTTTCTTGACTGCTGTATCCATTTTAGAGTTGTACTCTTTAGTTTGTACTGTCCCTCCATGTTCTTCCTTTCAAAATGTATCATCTCACATATCTCCATATTGAAACAAAAACTAATTATTGGTGAAAGTCAGCAGGTCTGGCAGCATATGTGGAGAGAAGGCAGAGAAATCATTTTGAGTCCTATGACTCTTCATTAGAACTCCACATTGAACTCTGTCTGCCATTTCTCTGCCTACTCCATCAACTTGCCTATGTCCCTTTAATGCCTTAAACTATCTTCCTCTCAGATTACATGCTTCCAAGTTCCATATCACCTGCGCATTGAAATTGTGCCCTGAACCCCATTATTAATATCCGTCAGTTAAAGCAAGGATTTCAATGCTGATTCCCAGTCGCGAACCATTTCAACTCCCCCTCCCATTCCGCAGACGACATGTCCATCCTGGGCCTCCTGCAGTGCCACAACGATGCCACCCGAAGGTTGCAGGAACAGCAACTCATATTCCGCTTGGGAACTCTGCAGCCCAATGGTATCAATGTGGATTTCACAAGCTTCAAAATCTCCCCTCCTCCTACCGCACCCCAAAACCAGTCCAGCTCGTCCCCGCCTCCCTAACCTGTTCTTCCTCCCACCTATCCCCTCCTCCCATCTCAAGCCGCACCCCCATCTCCTACCTACTAACCTCATCCCGCCCCCTTGACCTGTCCGTCCTCCCTGGACTGACCTATCCCCTCCCTAACTCCCCACATACACTCACCTTTACTGGCTCCATCCCCTCCTCTTCGACCAGTTTGTTTCCTCTCCACCCATCCTTTCCTCTATCCATCTTCTTTCCGCCTCCCACTCTCTCCCTATTTATTTCAGAACCCCCTTCCCCTCCCCCTTTTCTGATGAAGGGTCTAGGCCCGAAACGTCAGCCTTTCTGCTCCTATGATGCTGCTTGGCCTGCTGTGTTCATCCAGCCCTGCACGTTGTTGTCTCGGATTCTCCAGCATCTGCAGTTCCTACTATCTCCGATTTCAACGCTGACTCCACTACCAACTTCCCCACCTCGACAAAACAGCTATGCACCATTACTGTCTGTTTTCTGTTACTCAGTCATTTTGTGTCCATGTTGCTACTTCCTTTTTATTCTATAATCTCACAGGTTTTTCTATGGCAATGTATCACAAACCTTCTGGAGGGTCATGTGCAGCGCATCAATAGCATTGCCCTGATCTCATCAACAAACTCCAGTAAATTGGTTAAACATGATTTTTAAGAAATCCATGATGGCTCTCCTAAATGAGCCCAAAATTTTTGATGTGTCTGTTAATTTAGTTCCAAATTATTGTTTTCAGAAGTTTCCCAACCAAAAACATTAAACTGACTGATTTGTGGTTGCTAGGCTCATCCTTTAATTCTTTTTTGAACAAGGGTGTAATGTTAACAATTCTCAAATTCTCTGACACCACCTCAGAGTCAAAGGAAGACTAAAAATTATTGCCAGTGCCTCTGCAATTTCTATTCTCATATCCATCAGTATCCTTAGATTCATCCCAAAAAGCCCTGGGGTCTTGTCAACTTTAATTACATCAGCCTATCCAATACTTTCCTTACCTTTCCCTTTCAAAGGAACATACCTTCAGACTGTGCCTGAAACTTCTCTTCTTTGAAGGTAGCCCATTTGTCAGCTACAGGTTTTCCCACCAACAGCTGGTTCCAGTCTTTCTGGTCCAGCTCCATTCTTCCCCCCATGAAGTTGGCTTTCATACAATTCATTATTCTTAATCTGGATAATTCATTATC